GGCAGTTCTGCTCTGTCCTGTAGGTAGCTGTGAGTTGGAATCAACTCCACGGCACACAACAACACAGTTAATGACAGACGTGCTGAAGTGTTTACGGCAGAGGTGTACTAATGTCTACAGCTTCTTTTGAAATACTTCAAAAATTAAGATCGATTCATGGATAGGTGTGGAAAACAAATGCAAAGAAAAGTTTTTATAAAGTCTAGGTGGTGGCTATGGGTATATTTACCGTACAAGTCTTTCAGTTTTTCTGTATGTTTGAAAATTTTCATAATAAAATGTAAAAAAGACTAGTAGATAGGATTTCTGAAAGCTAGGTTCCTGTTTTTAATATGTTATATACTTAGTGATATTCATCAGAATTTATATTACTTTTTCAAAATTTGAAAATATTATAAAGATTTTATTAGTGACATTTTACTTCCTGTGTAGTGAGTTTTGAACTGTTTAGAATGCAGAGATATAGAAATATAAATAAACAATATAAGTAACACGACAAAACATTACCCACATAATAATTTGATTACTTCAAAGTGATAGAGCAAAACTAATTAAGATAATTTATAATACATGAATTCTGAGGGGATGGATACATAATTAGAGTATGCTCAGAGTTGAATGTGATTAATAGGAGATAGAATCATTGGGGTTGCTTAGTTTGAACAAGTTCTTGGAACTGCTGTTAGAGGAGATGAATAGATTCTCTTCCCACTCTTTTAACTGACCAGTTGTGATTTATGAAGTATGATTTTGTACACATTTTTTAGTGGATTGTATTCATTTTTCAATAGAGAAATGCCACCTGATTTTTATGCTAAAATTGTTAGCCATGTTTGAATCATTAGAATTTGTTTTGAAAAATAATCTGTACTTTAGGAATATGGTAACAGTGCATTAATGAGTTGTTTGGTTAAAGAAGCAGTGATCATTGTTCTAGGATTTTGTAGTTCTTTTATAAAGTTTTGAGAAAAAGTATAGTGTTATTAAAATATATACTATTTAATGTTATTTCCTTTGTAAATTGCAATCCAGGTTCTTAGGAAATCTCTTCTGATAGGCTGGACTTAAAAAATGTATATATTAGAATAAATTGTGTGACCCAGAGATGAGAGAAAAATAGATTAAAATATTATTTGTAATTGTGAGATGTGAGATTTTTAGCCATTAATTTGATCATACTCAGTTTTTCTCTATTGACAATCTTTTCTTTCCTAATCCTGAAATAAGCACTTCCAATAAAACTAAGCAGTTATGAAATAGATTTATTTAAGAAAATTAAAAATTACATGAAATCACTTGATGTTATAAGGGACTTGGTATTTTTCTGGTGATGCAAAATAGTAGAATTTAGACTTCTTTTTGGTCTTTCCTCTTTTTATCTCTAAATTTATTGCAATAATTTAAAAAAATAATTATTTCTAAGTGTTACAGCTTTGCCCAAGTAAATGCGCTGCCACATTGTACCCAGCTATAGCCGTTTCTATTGTTCAAGGATTCATATTATTGATACCTAGATGAGGTATTTTGGTCTTTGAGAAAATTGTGCCATTTGCTGACTTATGTAAGTGGTAGAAGGAATCACAAATGTGTTTTTATGTTCTACAGGGAGAAATTTAGTCGGAAACAAGCCACTGGGTTTCGTGCTACATACCAACTAGTTATTTAAGACATCACATTCTCCTTTAACTGCTGATCTTAGTACCAAGGCCTTCCTAGAGGAGAATATTTTATGAAAGACAGGAGTGCAGTCGGTGCTGGTTTACATCTGTAAAATAATGGTCAAAGGCAGTGCTGCTCATTGTATCTTATCATTAGCAGTAGTATTTTTATTAGGTATTTTAACGTTTAAGTCTGTTTAAGCAGTGTATCTGAAAAAGTGATGGGACGTGTAAGGTATGGAGAAAATTGCTCACAATAGCTCTTGATCAGAATAGATCCCTAAAATGTGGTATATACATATTCATCTTGATTTTTGTTATTTGCTATTAAGCATAAGGTTATTTTGTTAATGAAGAAGACTCATTAGCAACCTGTGGTATGCAGATGACACAACCTTGTTTGCTGAAAGCAGAGGGGACTTGAAGCACTTACTGATGAAGATCAAAGACTACAGCCTTCAGTATGGATTACATTTCAACATAAAGAAAACAGAAATCCTCTCAATAGGACCAATAAGCAACATCATGGTAAATGAAGAGAAGATTGAAGTTGTCAATGATTTCATTTTGCCTGGATCCACAGTAAATGCCCATGGGAGCAGCAGTCAAGAGATCAAATGATGTCTTGGATAAATCTGCTGCCAAAGACCTTTAAAAAAAGTGTTGAAAAGCAAAGATGTCCCTTTGAGGACTAAGGTGTACCTCACCCAAACCATGATATTTTCAGTTACCTCATGTGCATGAGAAAACTGGACAATGAATAAGAAAGACTGAAGAATTGATGCCTTCAAATTATGGTGTAGGTGAGGAATATTGAATATGCCATGGACTGCCAGAACAAACAAGTCTGTCTTGGAAGAAGTATAGCCAGTATGCTCTTTGGAAGGGAGGACGGTGAGACTTGGTCTCATGTACTTTGGACATGTTGTCAGGAGGGACCAGTCCCTGGAGAAGGGCATCATGCTTGATGTCTTAGTTACCTAGTGCTGCTATAACAGAAATGTCACAAGTGGATGGCTTTAACAAAGAGAAATTTACTCTCTCACAGTCTAGGAGGCTAGAAGTCCAAATTCAGGGCCTTAGCTCCAGGGAAAGGTGCTCTCTCTCTCTCTCTCTCTGTCAGCTCTGGAGGAAAGTCCTTGTCATCAGTCTTCACTTGGTCCAGGAACTTCCTAGGGCGGGGACCCCAGGTCCAAAGGACCGTGCTATTCTCCTAGCTCTTGTTTCTTGGAGGTATGAGTTCCGCCTGTCTTTCTGCTTGCTTCTCTCTTTTATATCTCAAAAGAGATTGACTTAAGACACAACCTAATCTTGTAGAATGAGCCCTGCCTCATTAACATAACTGCCTCTCATCCTGACTCATTAACATCAGAGAGGTAGGATTTACAACCCATGGGAAGATCACATCAGATGACAAAATGGTGGACAATCACACATTACTGGGAATCATGGCCTAGCCAAGTTGACAGGTATTTTTGGGGGACACAATTCAATCCATGACACTTGGTAAGGGAGCCGGTCAACGAAAAAGAGGAAGGCCCCTGATGAGATGGATTGGCACAGTGGCTACAACAGTGGGTTCAAACATAGCAACGATTGTGAGGATAGTGCAGGACCAGGTAGCGTTTTGTTCTGTTGTCAGTGAGAACCGACTTGATGGTACCTGACAATGACATAAGGTTATTTTAATCAGGTCATTAGGATTATAAATCAAAATACCAAAATTAAAACAGAAAATAGAGTCAATGTAAAGGAAAGTTTTGTTTCACAAATTTCTATCTCAAGGTCACATGGATATCACAACCATTTTAAGACTAGCCAAGAAGAAATTTCTTTGCCATCAAGATTATTTTTGTCCTTGTTCTACCAACCAGAGAGAAATTTTATTAGCAATTCTAAATAATGTATTAGGTAGTGTGTATTGGCAAGGTAAGGAGTTCCGGTGGTACAGTGGTTAAAGTGCTCAGCTGCCAATCAAAAGGTCGGCTGTTCAAACCCACCAGCCGCTCCATGGGAGAAAGATGTGGCAGTCTGCTTCTGTAAATACTACAGCCTTGAAAACCCTATGGGTCAGTTCTACTCTTTCCTGTAGGGTCACTATGACTTGGAATCGACTTGACTGCAGTGGGTTTAGGTTTTTATTGCCAAGGTAAAATGTTCAAATGAATAAGGAATAAAGTTGCGTGTGTACCAAGTTATTTTATAATCACTTTAGGTAATCTGTATTAAAACAAGTTTTAAAAAACAACTTTCGGCTCCCCTCCCATTGACTATTCAGTGTGTCTTTGTATCCTTTAACAGATACTTTGAGCAGGTTTTTTTTTTTTTCTGAGTAGGTGTTTGTAATAAGATTTCTTGATCGTAGTGGTATGCTTATTGGTTCTCATATCCCTGGAGATTTTGAGTCTGCCAGGTAAGAATCTTAGCAACAAAATAAGCAATAAGTAAATAAATATAAACTAGAACATCAACTGATCTGTGAGCTCAAAACTAATAGTTCAGTATATTAGACCCTGGAGGATATTCTGGAACCAGGACGTTAATTATATTTAGGAAATTCTTGTTAGAAAACCACCAATTTTTGGAGATGACAGAGCCTTTTTATTATTTGTTACTGATGCAGGCTTGATTACCTTTAATATAGAAAACTTAAGCACAAGGACGCTCTGCTTTTTCCGTGTTTCTATGTGTTATCCAGAAGGAAAAAACAAACAACAGAATACCATTTTAATTTGCCTCGTCAGAAGGAGAAGCCAGACCCATATTTTAAGAGCTAGCTAGAAAAAACTTATTATGCGTAGGGAAAATACTTATTAACAAAGAAAGATATCACAAGCATAATTATTGTTTTACTGTATGTTAAAATTAAATAGTTGTTTAATTTAGTCTAATTTTTCTTGTCATTTTCCTCTTTGACTGTTCAGTTATTTATTTAGGAGCAGTTATGAGGCACTTTATCACTTGAGCTAATTACTAGCCCTAAGGTGCCCCTCTACTATTTTCTAGATTGACTTGGACAGCCTGGCTGGCCAAAGCTAAATAGGTCTTTTAAGTCATAATTTTGTCACTCATTATTAATCTAGTGTATACTGTAAGGCTGGAATAAAAATCTAGCAGCTAAACTTACAAAGAAATTACTTCTTTAAAGATTTGAGTCCTTTTTTAACCTGAAGATTGTTTTCATCCGTCCCACATGCAGCTCCCAACGTTAACAGTGAAATTTTACTGTTAACAAAAATTTTACCTTCTATTGCTTTTTCCTTAGTTCAGCTGTAGAATTACTCAGTGTTAAAGCTGGGGAAGTCCTTTTAGGTGATCTAATTCAGCACCCTCATTTTACAGATGAGGAAACTGAGGCCTTGGACTAGGACAGAGGTCTCCTGACCCAGTTCAGGACTCTTTCTGTTACATCATGCTGCCTGATGTTTGTCTTTATGGAACTCTGCAACATCTCATACTGGGTGAGCTTTTGTTTTTTTGGTATGAACACGTGAAATCATTTACTGGTCTCATCGACTGCTCTTCTCCATTCCTCTCTCTCATTTTTCTCTTTTATCTATATCTATTTTTATCCATTATATGCCCAGTTACTCATGACACTTTTATTTTGTTACAAGTCTTCTTGTCATTTGACCAATATTTTTAAGAGTTAAACCCTTAGTAAGAAGGTTTCTTATCAGTACCCACTGTAGAGCCTTAACAGGCACTGTAGCAACCATAGATTAAATTTTACAACAGGAAGAGTTTGTAGAATCTTAAATTCAGATTTAAAAATAAATTACAAGTAAGTGCAGTAGTGTACGAATGAGATATGATACCAGATGTGAGAGCAACGTTTTTTTCTCTTTCACGTTCTCATAGTGTAATATTAGAGTAGTATAGCGTTAGAGCCTGAGTTTAGACAGGCTCTGACTCTGCTACTACTTGTGGGAATCAGCTTTGGGCTGATGATCTTGATTCTCCTTTCCCCATGAGGTGGTCAGACATAACTCCACTCTTCAACCTTTTTACCAATTCTGACACCAGCTGTCCTTCCCACGGCTCTCTCTACTTCTCTTCTGGATTCAATAATGTGTTGCAATGGGCACACAGAACTCATGGACCATACTTACAGTTGAGTGGTTTATTAAAGAAGTAACTTGGGATCAGAATCAACAGGTTACAACTTGGGATCAGGATCAGGAAGCATGTAGGCAAAGTCTGGAAGGCTCCCTTGAAGTGGAGAGCACATCCCTCCTTCTTCAGCGCAGGACAGCTCTCTCAGCTCCTCTCGGCTGTGCAAGCAAGCAGGCTCTTCTCTGCCATGCACGCCCCCTCTCAGCCCCCTCAGGACAGGCTCCTTCTCAGCCCCTTGAGGACAGTCCTCCTCTTGGCCGCCTCAGGACAGGCCTGTCTGCCTTCGGGCTCTCTGCTGTCAGCTTCTGCACTGCTCACAGGCCCAGCTCATAGCCGGTGTAGCAGTTTTGTTCAGCTCTCTCAGCTGCTTTCCTAGCCGCAGGTTTCTGCTATCACCATTGACTCTGCCACAGAGACACTTGTGGGCCTCTCTCTGTCTTCAGTGTTACAGTCCTTGACCTGTGTTACAGCTCTTTTAGAGGGTTCCTCCCCTCCTGTCTCTGCGCATTCTCTCTTCTTGCCTCTCTTGCCTTTTCTCCTTTTTGCTTCTTTCTTTCTTCTTCTGTCTGCCAAACTTTGTGGGATTGGCTGCATATATAAGCAAACTCCTGGTCAATTTTAAGACGTAAACCTCCCACTAGGGCCATGAACTGACAAATCCCCTGTTGGTAGGCTGATCACTTCATTTGCATGAATATATTGACCAATCCCTGCAAGATGTGTAAAACAGACCAATCACAGGGCAGTCTGCAGCCAGGGTCGACAAAAAGTCTCAAATCATCAAGATGTTTACAGTTTACCCAGGGAATGTCAATTAACCTGGACAAAAGTAGCAAACCCTCTGGGGTAGAAAACTAGGGCAAAGGTAACTCCTCAGAGCTTCAAGGGAAAAGTCTCTCAGGCTCTTTTTCCAGTGAACCAAGGCAAAAGGCCACGTAAAGGAACTCATTTTACAACACATAGTACTTGATTTACAGGTTTCTGTAGGACCAAAGTGTCATATCCACATCTCCTTCCATTTTTGCTTTTTGAATTTTTAAAAATGTTTTCCTTCACTTTCGCTTTTGTAAATGAGAAGAAGGAAAAACAAAACCTTTTAGCTTAATGGGAAATAACATGTTTCTGTTGTATATTCATTTTTTAAAAAATCTGTTGTTTTATCATTGAAATAGCCAGGATGTCAAACTTCAGAATTTTAGAGTAAACTAAAGCACGAATGGTCAACAGCTATGAATGCTGGATAGATTTGTTTTTTTTGAGTGGACAATGTACCACCACCACAATCACACACGCTTCACATCACTTAAATATATACGTTGTAAAGTTTTTAGAATCTGTTTAATTATTCATCACCAGTTTTCAAGGATCCCTACTCCCCTGCCAATTAATTAATTGTGCTTCAAGTGAACTGAATATGAGATCTAGAAATACTATGTAGCCACAGTTTTCCTGTTTTAATGATGGGAAGGTATGTATGGGAGAGGCTTGTAGATGATGTTTTGTGAATTGTATTCCTTATATTAGAGCCCTAGGTAATATATTTGAATAACTGCTATGTGTTGGGCACTATAGAAGATAAAGTACAGATTTTTTTTTTTTGTGGTAAAATATATATGACATAAAAATGTTTCCATTTTAGCCATTTTGAAGTGTACAATTCAGTGACATTAATTAATTCACCATGTTATGCAACCATTCTCACTGTCTGCTTCCAAAAGTTTTTTTATCATCTCAAACAGAAACTCGGTATCCCTTAAGCAGCAACTCCCCATTTCCTCCAGCCCCCCCGTAACCACTAATAAACTTTTGTCTCTGTACACTTCCCTATTCTAGATACTTTAATATACTATGGGATCAAATAATATTTGTCATTTTGCGTGTGGCTTATTTCACTTAGCATGATGTTTTCAGGGTTCATCCATGCTGTAGCATACATCAGAACTTCGTTTCTCTTTATGACTGAATAATATGTTTTGTGCATCCAAGGAGTACCTATATCCATAATATGTATATATACATTCTTTGTATATCACATTTTGTTCATCCATTCACCTGTTGATGGACAGTTGGGTTGTTTCTACCTTTTGGCTATTGTGAGTAATGCTGCAGTGAACATTAGTGTACTAGTATTTGAGTTCTGCTTTCAGGTCTTGTGGAGTATATACCTAGGAGTGAAATTGCTTAGTCATGTGGTAATTCTGTATTCAACTTTTTAAGAAACTGTCAAACTGTTTTCCACAGTGGCTGTGCCATTTTACATTCCCACCAGCAGTGAACCATGGTTCCAATTTCTCTGCATCCTCACCAACATTTGTTATTTTTTTATTTTCTGATAATAGCCATCTTGGTGGGTATAGAGAGGTAAATACCTCACTGTGGTTTTGATTTGCATTTCCCTTGAGGGCAAGTGGTGGTCCCTGGAATCTACAGGTCACTTTGGGTAGTATCGACATCTTAACCACATTAAGTCTTACAGTCTAGGAACCCTGTGTGTCTTTCAGTTTATTTAGATCTTCTTTAATTTCTTCCAGCAATGTTTTATAGTTTTAGTGTACAAGTCCTTCACCTCTCTGGTTAAATGTATTTCTGGGTATTTTATTCTTTTAGATGCTATTGTAAATGCATTGTTTTCTTTATTTTCTTGTCAGATTGGTCATTGCTGGTAATTTTTCTGTGTTGATCTTGTACCCTACAACTTTGCTGAATTTCTTTATAAGCTCTAGAAACTTTCTTGTGGATTCTTTGGAATTTTCTATATATAGGACACTGTCACCTGAGAATACAGAGAGTTTTACTTCTTTCTTCCTAATCTGGATGCCTTTTATTTCAAGTAGCTATAAATAAGTACTTATTCATTTCAACTACTTCAAATATTTGTTGAAAAACAAATATATGCATAATAAACAGTGACATAATAGTGCTAACACTTAATAGTTTATGAATCCCTTTTCCACGCATTTCTTCCTACTTTGAGATATATGATTTAGATTTATTTCTATTTTACAGATGAAAAAATTGAGGCTCAGGACAGTTAAATTCGCATGTAAGCAGTCACATTTGAAAAAAATTCAATGTTCTGTTTTCTTTTAACTACATACATTTCCATTTTTGAGAAGAGTTAAAAAATATCCTTTAGAGTAGGGGTGCAGGAGAAATGTACCCAGATGCTGGTATTTGAGTAGGCTTCATAAATAAAGAGGTGGCATTTGAAGACTATAGAATAATTTCAACAACTGTAGTTGGAACAAATTGCTAAAAAGCAGGAAGGTTGGAATTTGTGGGATACAAATTCGAGAATAATACAAATATATTCACCTGATGAGTAGAGTACATTCAGGAAATACTGTGTGTATATGTGCTTTGAGACCATAAAATGTACAACTTCAATGCCTGGCTTAGAGGGTTTAGAGTGAATTTGGAAGCTAATGGGTAGCTACACACATACCGGAAGTGACCAGAGTTGTGTTTTATGTGTGTCAGAAAATAATAGAAGACCTTGGAGACTCTGAGGCTATTGTAATAATAACCTGAGGTGATAGGTACTGTAGAAAGGAAGACATGACTGTAAGAGACATGGTATAGGTAGATGGTAGTATCTAAAGGATTCCAGATACAAGCTGAGATAGCAAGTTGAATCCAACATAATACTAAAGTTTGAAGACTTGTAGAATGCTGATTTGGATGTGTGGGGCATAAATCGCCTCAGGTGGTGCTGATTATGAGATTCTGAAAGGACATCTAAGTAGAACTGATAGAACAGATAGATATGGAACACTGGAGTGGGAAGGATCTGAGCATGTGTTACATAGAATGGCAAATAATGGAAGGAGAGTTTCCTAATTCTCAGGGCTTCAAACCAGTTCATTGTGTTCAAACCTCTTCTGAGAATTTGTGTTTCTAACAAGTTCCCAGGAGATGCTAATGCTGCTGGCTAGGAACCAGTTCTTAGAACCACTAGCGTAGTAGTGGTTCTCAAGATTCATTATACATAAGAATCACCTGGGGATCTTGTTAAACTATCGATTCTGATGCAATATATCTGGGGTGGAAATGCAAATTCTCAGCAGTAGTTTGGACTGGAAAGAACAAGTTCAAATCCCTGCTGATCTTCAAAGTGGATGAGATTCTTAAGTGGAAGAGTACAGAGCTGATTAGAGGTCTGAAAAGAACTCAGCTGTACACATATAGGGCCAAAATACAAATCAGTGGCAGAGATGGGAGAGAGGACATAGGAATCCAAATGTTGAGAATTTTTAGAGACTGTTCTCATTTTCATATTTCTCAAATGTTAGGAATGGGAAGAGCGAGGTCAAAGCTTAGGAAGACTCCTTGAATTTACACATGA